CATGTGAAGTATGCAGAACAGGCAAATCCATAGAAACAGAAAGCAAATTAGTGGTTGTTGGGGGGCTGGGGCAGTGGGGTGGCAGGGTGTGGGATAAATGGGCCTAGGGCACTAGGCACGAGAAACACTTATTTACTAGCGCATTCTTGTTACTTTTAAAAATGCATCTATTATTATTATGCGTTTGGATAGGGTTTAGTTTTTTCTTCATGGTGAATTAAAGTCTCGCAACTAAAGCAGTGTTTTATTTTTCTTTGCACATTCAGTTAAAAAATTTTTTTCGTAATTGATTTTAGTGAGAGAGGAAGGGAGAGAAAGAGAGAGATAGAAACATGGATGAGAGAGAACATCGATTGGCCGCCTCCCGCACGCCCCCCACTGGGGATGGGCCCACAACCTGGGCATGTGCCCTGACCGGGAATCGAACCAGCGACCTCTTGGTGCAGGGTCGATGCTCAACCACTGAGCCACACTGGCCGGCACATATTCAGTTTTTAAAAACGTATTTTGATACTATGTTTTGGTGTGTGAAGATCCTCTCTGCACCGTGGGTTATACCATTGCTCACAAGGGGTCTGCCTGTGTCTCCGTCACACCTTTGGCCCGAGCTCAGCCCGAGAGAAGGGAACAGACAGGTTAACTTTCTCCCATTAGCTCCGCGTCTGCCTTTCGCCGGCTTGTCTCACAGTCATGATTCTAATATTTCCCATCTCCAGTGATTGTTTTCGTGTTTTCCTCTCTTTTACTACTCTGTGTAGATTTTTCTTTCTTTTATATTTATTTTCCTGGTTCTTAGGCTAATTTGAAAGAATTATAACTAAATAGTTTTTTAAAAAATTTGATTTTAAAATTACGGGTGACAAATGCAGTATTATATTAGTTCAGGCGTATAGCATAGTGGTTAGGTAGGTATACACCTTTCGAAGTGCTCACCCCAGTAAGCCTGGTACCCCCGGGCACCACCCACAGTTACTGCAATATCATCGACTGTTTCCTGTGCGGGACCCCACATCCCCAGGCCAGCTCTGTGACTGCCCGTCTGTCTTCTCAGTCCCTCACCTTTCCCCCCATCCCCCAACCCACCTCCCCTCTGGCTACTCTTAGTTTGTTCTCTCTGAGTTTGTTGAAAGAATTATAATTTTAATTTTAGTTGTTTCAGTGGTTAGCTTATACTTTTTTTTTTTATCCTCACCTGAGGACATTTTTTTGTCTTTTGTTCAGATAAAGTGGGAGGGGGAGAGAGAGAGAGAGAGAAACATCGACGTGAAAGGGACACATCAAGTGGTTGCCACTCGCACGACCCAACCAGGGCCGGGGACAAACCGCAACCGAGGTACATGCCCTTAGCGGGAACCGAACCCGGGTCTCTCTGGACCGCAGGCTGATGCTCTGACCGCTGAGCCAAACCGGCCAGGGCATTACCTTAAACTTTTAAAGGACATTCACCATCTCTATCTTTCTGAGTTAGCGACGTTAAAATCAAGCCGTACCGACTGGCTCTCTGCCGAGGGGGCAGGGTCTTGGTGGAGGGGTCGCCTGTCTTCTCTTCAGGGTCCCGTCAGACCCTGTTGGTGGGCAGCCCTGGAGTCGTGTGCACCCTCCATGTTCACGTCCCGTGGTCCTTTCAGTCACCCTAAATTGCTGACGCCCAGAGACCTTAAATGGAAAGCTGGCTCGTTTGAATTTAGATTCGAGTCTTACCCCTGGTATTTAAGGATGTTTGCTTTAAACCATGTATTTTTCCCCCTCCTCTCCCTTCGCAGGATTCTCTCCTGTCTGCGGTTAGGGATTTCCTCTTGTCCCACCAGATAAGGAGAACAGGTGTTATTAATGGCTTGCTGTCATTTCATTCATCCTGTGGGTCCGTCTCTCTGCGAAAGACACTCCCGTAGGGGACTGGGAAAGCACTCCAGCCGGGCCTGACTTCTGTTCCAGTTCCAGTCTGTTCCAGTTGTGTTTGTGTTTTTGTAGTGGGTGGCTTTTATTTCCAAGTGAGGAGTACATTTGCTTCTGTCATGGCTCATCTTACTTCTGCTCTTGGGTGGGTTCCTTTCCAGGAGTCTTTTCATTCCATGCTGTCCATTTTTTTTATTTTTATTTTTTATTTATTTTTTTTATTTTTATTTTTTATTTATTTTTTTTTATCCTCACCCGAGGACATTTTTCCATTTTTTGTACAGATAGAGTGGGAGGGAGAGAGAGGAAGAGATAGAGAGAGAGAAACATCGATGTGAAAGGGTCACTCGAGTGGCTGCCACCGCACGACCAACCAGGGTCAGGGACAAACTGCAACCGAGGTACGTGCCCTTAGCGGGAACCGAACCCGGGTCTCTCCGGACCGCAGGCCGACGCTCTAACCGCTGAGCCAAACCGGCCAGGGCCATGCTGTCCATTTTTTAAAATATTTTTTTATTGATTTTTTTAGAGCAAGAGTAAGGGAGAGAGATAGGAACATCCATGTGAGAGAGAAACACTGATCGCTGCCTCTTGCACGCCCCCTACTGGGGATCGAGCCACCACCCGGGCATGCGCCCTGACTGGGAATCGAACCCGGACCTCTCAGTCCCTGGGATGGTGCTCCGTCCTCTGAGCCACACCAGCTGGGCCATGCCGCCCATTTTGGTTTCTTGATTTCCTTTCCTCCGTTAGCTTTCATGCCTTCTCACCCACCACTTCCGCACGAACTCCGCAGAATTCCTGAAGCCACTGTGCTCCACCTCTAAATACTAATCTAGAAACTCCCCAAACAGCCCTTGAGCTCCACCTCCCACCCGTCCAGCTCTCTTGGTCAAGGGCTTTCGGCGTGGCGGCTGCTCCCAGGAACCTCCGGGGCCCGTCCTTGTTCACTCGTCTCTCGACGTGCTCAGGACCCGTGGCAGTCCGTTCACTCTCTCCCAGACAGTGGTCACATCCCGGGCAGGTGAGGTTCCTGTGCAGAGCTGTGGGGTGGGCACCGATCTGTGCCCGGCCCAGGAGGCGGGGGAGGGCGACGTCCAAGGCTGGCAGGGGGCGCAGCGGGCCTGGGAGGTGCTGGTAAGGCCAGGTGGGCGCAGCGTGGCTGCGGGGCTGCTGTGGCCCACGGCCGGGGCACGTCGAGTTGGGCGTCGGCAGAGGGAGGTGAGCGATGTCCCAAGGTCTAGGTTGTGAAGGGCAGGAGCGAGGAGGGCATCTGTTAGACCCAGGCCTCGGCCTGCCTGGGCCGCAGCACCCGAGAACCAGGCCTGTTGCCGGGCGGCGCCCTCCGGCCTCTCTCGCTGCCCGCAGTTCTGGGGTGGGGTGGCCTGGACTCGATGGGCTGCCTTGTCTCACCCCCGGCTCCTGTCCGTCGTGTTTCTCCACTGCCTCCACTCTCCCGCTGTCCGTGACCCTGTGTCCGTGCGCTGACGGTGTGGAAACCACTCAGAGGGTGTCGTGGCCGCCAGTCTGCTGGCCCAGGCAGTGGCGTCGCTGTCTGCCTCCTCCTTTTCCTTGTGGGTGGGTTTCCTACCCCACCCTCGCCTTGGCCCCCTTCCCTCAGCAATTCTGTTTTCTCTCGTCGTCAGTGATTTCTCTCGACTGGCCTTTCCTCTAACCATTGTAACTTCTCCCATCTTGAAGAACCCTCCCATTTCCTCCGCTTCCCTCATCGCTGACCTCCTGGGAGACGGCTGCTTCTTGGTTCCCAGCCCTCTGCTCCTCCGCTTTGGGCAGGACTCTGCCTGCCCCTCTCTGGAGAGCTGGCCTTGCTCGTCCCTCCCAGGACTTCCCTCAGGGGTCCCCTTGTTGGCGAGGGGTGCCCCTCCCCTGCTGGTCCTCCCTGCCCCCCGGCCGGGTTGCCCGCTCACGTGGACCTAGGCGTCGGTTACTGGTCTTCTCACTCGGGTGGGAGCGCGTGAGGCCGGAACTGGCTGTGCCTTGCGGGGCGCTCAGTTCTCAGCAGAGGGCCCCCCCGCACAGGCCTGTTGCTGGAGGAATGGATTCTGTCAGCCGGCGAGGATGTTCACGTGTCTGGTCTCTGACCTGGACACTTCACGGCGCTCCTGCCCCGCTCCCTGCCCCGCTCCCTGCCCCGCTCCCCCAGCCTCTGGGACTTCCGTCTGCTGTCAGCAGCGCCCTGACTCGTGGGGTGACATTCCTGCACTGATAGCTCTTGTCCTGTTGACCCATCTCCCACCCTCGAGGGTGTTGGGAGGAGGTGCAATGGTGTTGACCTTCTCTTATCTGCCAGGGTTCCTCAGGGGCTGCCAGCAGCTGTCCAGACTGCTCCTGTCCATCAGTCAGTCCTGTCCCTGGCCCCCGGCCGGCGTGTGTGGGGACAGTGCTGACAGGAGGCCCACAGTCGTCCTCTCCTCCCGAGTGTGTCATCCGAGGTGGTGCTGTTCTGTGGTGTCCGCCACGCAGGTCGCCGCGTTCTCAGTCACGCGCACCAGACCTTCCTCAGAAACCCACACGGTGCTCCCTGGGCCCTGTCCTCGGCCGCAGTGCCTTCACCTGGCGCATTGTCCCGGCCCCAGCGCCAGTGAGCCTCGTGCCAGCGCCCTGCTCCCTGACTGGAACCAGGCCTGTTCGGACCCATGCTTTCTGCCTCGCGTGCCGCATGGACACGCACGAGAACGTATTGTTCACGTCTCTTGTTCCCCTGCTGTTCGCTTTGACGTGTGGTCTGTTTGCTGAGTGATTCCTTTGTCGCTGAGGCTTCGTGGCTCGTTTTCGCCTTCCGTAGGGACGGTCGCCTCTCACCATTGTTCTCCAGAATCCTCCGCGACGTTCTGGTCTGTACATTTCCGCATGCTTTTGCAAACCAAGAAAAATCTCCACTAGGCTTTCTTCTGAAATGGTATTAAAACCAGTTCATATAAGTTAATATTTTATCCAAAGTTTATATTAGCAAAGTATTTAAAATGTTTACTTCGTACTAGGTTAAATCCATTTTTTCCCTATAAATACCGAGGCTGTACCTTCTGTTCTTTAAAAAAAGACGCAGAAAGTGTGAGTGACGTGTAAACTGTGTTCTGTTTCAGATCTGTTTCCTCCTTTTCGCTGTTCTCTACCTCGTCTCCTACTTCATCATCACAAGATACAAGAGGAAGTCAGGCAAGTAGAGGCGCCGATGCACGCGGTCATTCTCACGCCGGGCGCTCTGGGTGGTCTGTGGGCTCCCAGCATGTCTGGGTGGACCCTCTGGGCTCGGGCCGGAGCGCGGTTGCCTGGGCCTGAGGGCACTAGACATACCCCCAGGGGCCTGGCTGCAGGGTCACCCTCTTGGACCCCAGCCCAACTAAGAAGAGTGCGGGCTCCTCAGGACCTGGGAAACTCCTGAGCTTGTGAGGACATCTGGGTCCTTGTGACCGGCTCTGACTGAGCCCATCCCGTCCTGGCTCTGACTACAGATTACCTCTCTCTGAAGGGACACTGAGTTCAGTCTCCCTGACCCCGTCTCCTCTCAGTGTTCACACCCGTCCTGTCCTGCCAGAGGGACCACTACACCTTTATTCTGTTATTATTATTTATTTCTTATCTTCACTTGAGGACATTTTCCCATGTTTTGTTCAGATAGAGCGGGAGGGAGGGAGGGAGAGAAACATCGACGTGAAAGGGACACATCGAGTGGCTGCCACCCGCACGACCAACCAGGGCCGGGGACAAACTGCAACCGAGGTACATGCCCTTAGCGGGAACCGAACCCGGGTCTCTCTGGACCGCAGGCCGACGCTCTGACCGCTGAGCCAAACCGGCCAGGGCTGTTTGTTTCTTAAAAGTGCTCTGTGGCCCTGCAGACATTGGGAGCAGCCTCGCTGCCGGCACCCGGCGCTGTGACTGCACCGAAGCTCCTTGGGTCCTGTAAGCTCAGAGTTTGGCAGACCCCAATCCGAGACAGCTTCTTAGCCAGTTGAAGACATGTTTTGACATCAGGTTTCATAGATCAGGGACACAGAAGTGGAGAGAGAGAGAGACAGGAATGAATGAATGCTCACGAGGCATTGTTTTAGGGGAAGTCGGGATGATGAGCAGGAACATTGGAGATTCATGAAGTGTTTTTTTTTTTTTTATCCTCACCCGAGGACATTTTTCCATTTTTTGTTCAGATAGAGTGGGAGGGAGAGAGGAAGGGAGAGAGAGAGAGAAACATCGATGTGAAGGGACACATCGAGCGGCTGCCACCCGCACGACCAACCAGGGCCGGGGACAAACTGCAACCGAGGTACATGCCCTTAGCGGGAACCGAACCCGGGTCTCTCTGGACCGCAGTCCGACGCTCCAACCGCTGAGCCAAACCGGCCAGGGCTCATGAAGTGTTTTGTCGAGTACGCGCAGGGAGGGGCTGATGAGGACTCTGGACCTGGTTGGCGGAGTGTTGAGACAGAATTGAAAAGACGTTCTTGAAAGTCTGTGGTTGGCTGGAAGTGGGCTCTGCGGTGTGAGAGCTGGTGCCGGGGTCGCTTGTGGGCCCGTTGGCCGGGAAGCAGGGGGGCTGAGAGTCGCAGAGCCTTGAGGACACGCCCAGGTAGGTGCGGGGGTTGGGTGTTGTGCGGTGTCCTTGTAATTGGGTCAGAGTTTCTTTGGCTGGTAAGTTTTCGTGGGAGGACAGAGATGTGGCAGACAGTTGTGGGGGTGGCGCTGAGAGAGCCCCAGCAAACGGATACATTCCGGCTGCACCTTGGACAGCGGCAGAGAAGTGTCATGGCCGAGGTCCCCAGCGTGGTTTAGGGGTCCAGAGAGTCCTCATCACCACTACCAATGACAAGCTCAGATGACCGAGAAGCCCACGGGGTCTAAGAGTCTGAACTTTAATGTTACAGTAAACATTTTATTTTTGGCTGTTGTCAACTAGCGCATTTTTTCCATTAGCGATTTCACTGGCATGGTATGGTCGTAAACTTGATAGTGGTCCACTAAGTTCTGTTCTCCCGGGCACTGACTGTTTGGGACGTTTTAATTTACGTGTGGTCATTGAGTTCATAAGGATTTTTGGTTAGTTAAAGCACTGTTCTCTAACCATCTCCTGTCCTATCTGACGGAATGAAATTTAAATGAGGGTCTGTGCTGAAATAAGCACAGTGCATTTCTTTTAATCCCCACCTGAGGATATTTTTTACATTTATCTTCAGATAGAGCAGGAGGGAGGGAGACACGGGGAGAGAGAGAGAGAGAGAAACATTGATGTGAGAGGGACTCATCCACTGGTTGGCTCCCGCACGACCTGACCAGGGCCGGGGACAAACCGCAACCGAGGTACGTGCCCTTGACTGGAATCGAACCAGGGACTCTTTGGTCCTCAGGCCGACACTCTAACCACTGAGCCAAACTAGCCAGGGCGAACACAATGCTTTTAAAAAATTGGTTCCATTTTAATAATTGCTTTTTAAAATTTATATATTTGTTTTTACAAATTAATGAAACATTTTGTTGGAAGGTAGAATAACATTAATCCTTACATATTTTTGCAGATGAACAAGAAGATGAAGATGCTGTTGTCAACAGGATTTCGTATGTATTTTATTTGTTTATTTATTTACTTAATCCTCACCCGAGGACATTTTTGCATTTGTCTTCAGATAGAGCGGGAGGGAGGGAGGGAGGAAGAGAGAGAGAAAGAAACATCGATGTGAAAGAGACACATTGAGTGGCTGCCACCCCCATGACCCCAACCAAGGCCGGGGACAAACTGCAACCGAGGTTCGTGCCCTTAGCAGGAACCGAACCCGGGTCTCTCTGGTTCGCGGGCTGACGCTCTAACCGCTGAGCCAAAGCAGCCAGGGCTCATATGTATTTTAAGGTTTAATTGTTTTATTTTTAATTCTGGAGTCATAAATTCTCAAAATGTAACTCTACCTTTTGGGCAGAAAGATGGAAGACATTTACCTAAAGTGTTGCAGCACCTTCATCAGTGTTAATCCCATCCTCAGAGCGCACACAGGCAAATGCGCATGCGTAGTGGAAGGTTGGCTGCCTCCTATTAAACGAGCTTACTTATGAGCTGGGAGCTTCCTCTTTCAGATCTAACCAGGAGGGGGGCGCAGGCCGGGGGGTGGTGGGCCGCAGGCCTGGGGTGGTGGTGGGCCGCAGGCCGGGGGTGGTGGTGGGCCGCAGGCGGGGTGGGGGGTGGGGGTGGGCTGGAGGCCAGGGGGGCATGGGCCGCAGGCCGGGGGTGGTGGGCCGCAGGCTGGGGGTGGTGGGCCGCAGGCTGGGGGTGGGGGTGGTGGGCCGCAGGCCGGGGGTGGGGGGGTGGGCCGGAGGCTGGGGGTGGGGGGGTGGGCCGGAGGCTGGGGGTGGGGGGGTGGGCCGCAGGCCGGCGGGGCGTGGGCCACAGGAATGCAGGCCCCTGGCTGTGTGAACGGTGTGCTGAGAAGACTGTGCAGGTTTTGGAAGAGCGGGCGGACAGCTGCTCTGTTCAGCCTCCCTCCTGAGAGCGGGGCGGTGGGCCTGTCCGGTCCCCGGGGCGCTTCCTCTGCTCACGTCCGCTGCCGGTGCAGGACAGGCTGCAGGCACCTTGCGGAGTCAGACCGGATGGAAAGCAGCGAGTTCCTTTCCGTTCGGTGTGGCCTGATGGGAGTTGGACACGGCACCGCCCCCCTGTGTCCCCCCACCCCGCGCACAGGCTTGTTGTTGGTGCTTTACTGTTTTTTGGAAATAGTCCCAGATGTACAGGAAAGGTAGAAATGTAACACAAAGACTTTTCACTGAACCCTGGGGAAGTTGCTGACCGGATGCTCCATTTCCACAGGATACTTTGTATCTAATTCCTGTAAACAGCCATCAAAATGGCGAAGCTGGTGTTGACACAGTACCAGCTGTGCTACCCCCCCCAGTTCACTAGTCTCCCTGCAGTGTCCCTGCTAACAAAAGGGTGCAGTGCAGAGCCCCACCCTGCAGGGAGCACCATGTCCCCCCAGCCGCCTGCAGGCTGAACCGTGGCTCAGTGTCTCCTTGACTCCCTGACCTGGTGGGCACTTCTGCGGCGCAGGCCGGGCACATGGCTTTCTCATCCCTTCTTGATCAGGGCCCGGTCACAGCCTCTGCTGATGTGCTGCTGGGGAAGAGAGGAAGGGGAGCAGGGGAGAGCCCGCACACGCATACACCCACACACCCACGTACATGTACGCACACACCCACACACGCACGCACATGCACCCACACACGCACACACCCACACACGCGCACACACTCATGCGCACACACGTGCACCCCCCCCACGAGCACACACTCATACGCACACATATGCACACACATGCACACACACTTGCCCCACACTGGAGCATTGCTCAGCCCTGAAGACAGCACAGCAGTGGCACCTGCTCCCACACGCATGAACCCCGAAAGCATGATGCTGAGAGAGCGGCCAGTCGCCACAGGTCATGTGGTGTCTGGTTCCTTCACAAGAAACATCCAGAGCCGGCAGTTCAGTAAAGCAGACTGGCGGGTCTCGGCCGAGGGGAGGGCTGAATGGGGCGCAGTGCTTCACGGCGTGGACCTCGCTTCGGGGTGTTGAGAGTGTTCAGGTGGCACACCCTGGGCACCAAATGCCCTGACTCGTTCCCTTCGGAGCGGCTACCGTGATGTGAAGCCACCTTGATAAAGCAGGGCTTCCGCTAAGAAATGACTTGGACAGGTGGTTCGACTTGCCCAGAGAGAGGCGTGTGGGCGGTCCCCGTGCTGGGTCTGGGTCTGGGTCTGAACCATGCGATCGGCCTAGGAGAGCAGCCGTCACCCTGCGCTGGGCGTCCTGTGTGGCTTAGGCTGCGCCCTTGATGGCTCAGCCGGACGGGGTTGGGTCCCACGCGCTGGCCCTGCCTGTGACGTCTGGGACACTCAGTGACCGCCTGCTGAAAGCACAGTGGGGCCGGCGTCGCGACCCTAGGCCGACCGAGGGCGGACGGGCCCTGCTCCCGGTGGAGCCCTCCAGGTGAGGCGCCGGTGTGAGGTTCCCCCTTCCCCGCGTTCGTGTCTGTGCCCCGCGGCGGTGCTTCTGCTGCCTCATAAATAGAGCACCGTCACCCTTGCAGTATGTTTCAGAACTGTTTCCCCTGGAGAGGTCAGGAGCCCTGCCCTCCACTTGCGTCAGCCCCCGGCACATCCGAGAGGTCGGCCCCCAGATGCTCTGCATCATGTGATGACGGCACCTTCCTGAAGGGAGATGGCTGTCCCTCGCGTCAGGAGGGCTGCACGGAGGAGGAGGCCAGCAGTCTGCCCCTGGGTCCTCATCGTTGCTCTTTAGTGCCTTCCCCTGTGGAACCAGTGAGAACTGCACCGGGCTCCCCCTGTGGAACCAGTGAGAACTGCACCGGGCTCCCCCCTGTGGAACCAGTGAGAACTGCACCGGGCTCCCCGCTGTGGAACCAGTGAGAACTGCACCGGGCTCCCCCTGTGGAACCAGTGAGAACTGCACCGGGCTCCCCGCTGTGGAACCAGTGAGACCTGCACCGGGCTCCCCCTGTGGAACCAGTGAGAACTGCACCGGGCTCCCCCTGTGGAACCAGTGAGAACTGCACCGGACTTTGCCCCTGTGGAACCAGTGAGAACTGCACCGGACTTCCCCCTGTGGAACCAGTGAGAACTGCACGGTCCCCCGGGAACTTGAGAACTGCACCGGTCTCCCCTAGTGGAACCAGTGAGAACTGCACCGGACTTCCCCCTGTGGAACCAGTGAGAACTGCACCGGGCTCCCCCTGTGGAACCAGTGAGAACTGCACCGGACTATGCCCCTGTGGAACCAGTGAGAACTGCACCGGGCTCCCCCTGTGGAACCAGTGAGAACTGCACCGGACTTTGCCCCTGTGGAACCAGTGAGAACTGCACCGGGCTCCCCCTGTGGAACCAGTGAGAACTGCACCGGGCTCCCCCCTGTGGAACCAGTGAGAACTGCACCGGACTTCCCCCTGTGGAACCAGTGAGAACTGCACCGGGCTCCCCCCTGTGGAACCAGTGAGAACTGCACCGGGCTCCCCCCTGTGGAACCAGTGAGAACTGCACCGGGCTCCCCTGTGGAACCAGTGAGAACTGCACCGGACTTCCCCCTGTGGAACCATGAGAACTGCACTCGGACTTTCCCTGTGGAACCAGTGAGAACTGCACCGAGCTCCCCCTGTGGAACCAGTGAGAACTGCACCGGGCTCCCCCTGTGGAACCAGTGAGAACTGCACCGGGACTTCCCCCTGTGGAACCAGTGAGAACTGCACCGGGCTCCCCCTGTGGAACCAGTGAGAACTTCCCCCTGTGGAACCAGTGAGAACTGCACCGGGCTCCCCCTGTGGAACCAGTGAGAACTGCACCGGGCTCCCCCTGTGGAACCAGTGAGAACTGCACCGGGCTCCCCCCTGTGGAACCAGTGAGAACTGCACCGGGCTCCCCCTGTGGAACCAGTGAGAACTGCACTGGACTTCCCCCTGTGGAACCAGTGAGAACTGCACTGGACTTTGCCCTGTGGAACCAGTGAGAACTGCACCAGGCTCCCCCTGTGGAACCAGTGAGAACTGCACCGGGCTCCCCCTGTGGAACCAGTGAGAACTGCACCGGGCTCCCCCTGTGGAACCAGTGAGAACTGCACCGGGCTCCCCCCTGCGGAACCAGTGAGAACTGCACCGGGCTCCCCCCTGTGGAACCAGTGAGAACTGCACCTGGCTCCGGGCTCTGAGCCCAGCATCAGCCTGAGCCCAGCAGACTGAGTCCGGATCTGCCCCTGCTGGGTGTGCCGAAAGAACACAGCACGGCAGCTGGCGTCTGCCTAGTGAGGTGGTCTCGGTCGTCCCCTTGCGCTCCAACTCTTCCTGCGTTCCTCCCACTGAAGGGAGTTGGGCGGGCATTGGAGAGGGAGACACAGAAAGAGAGGCTGAGCTTAATGAGGACGAGACCCGGCGTCGTCAGGGCTCTGAGAGTCAGACGGGTTCTACAGCGTAGGAGCCGCGACACCGCCCGGCACCTGAGAGGCTTCCAGAGCCGACTCCCCCCCTGCATGGAGACCCCTTCTGGGCCCTGCCCCTGAAGAGCCCACCCCAGGTTCTCCTTTGCTCCTTCATTCTGCCCTCTGTCTCCCTGCATCCCCACAGACTCCCCCTGCCCTTCCCAACCGCCAGTGCCCTTGGGGACAGCCCCTCTCAGCTCGTTCTGGGGCCCGAGGGAGGTGCTGATGTGAAGTAGGGTGCCTGTGCAGAGGGCTGTGAGCCCCAGCCAGCAGGAGAGTCTCCGTGCAGGAGAGGACCTGGCACAGTGTCGGAGCCCCTAGGGCAACCTGGAGTGGGCCTCAGGGTTTGAGAAGAGGGGGGGAAGTACCCCTGTAGGGGGAACCCTGGCATGGGATATCACCCCGGGGGGCGACTCCCGCATGGCCTAGGGGTGCTGTGTGATGGAGTCAGCCCACGCAGGATAGGGAGGGCGCCTGTGCAGGATGGCAGAGCCCAAGAGGGTTGGCCTGGCCGTGTGTGAGCTTGGTGGGTGTCCACAGAGCAGGACAGTGGGAAATGGGGTCCCCTGAGCAGCAAGATCCTCCTTATAGAACGGGGCTCAGTGTACCGGGAGCGGACCCGCTGCAGATGTGGGTGGGTGTGCGCATGTACATACAACGTGCATGCGCACCCCTGCGCCTCCGCCACTGGACGCCCGGGAGCTTGACACCCAGGGGCAGCGAGTGTCATCGGCGCCCAGGTCTTCCCTCTGAATCAGTGTCCCATGGAAAGGACCCGACTCCGGGAAACCGGGCTGCAGGGCTGGGCTCGGAGCCTCCCGGGTCATTTTGTTTGCCTTGTGGTGCCAGGGAGCACTTGAAGAACAAGGGGTGCGTCAGAAGACCTGGGCCTTTGAGGGCTCTCCTGCCAGCCAGGGGCCGCCTGAGCATCACGGTCATGGTTGCCATGGGTCCCGCACCCAGTGGGACAGGGAGCCCGAGGCCATGCTGGTGGCGTCACTGAACGAGTAGATCCTTGGACACGGAGGAGATCTCCCTGGTTTCAGACGCAGCCCCCTGCACCACGTGTACAAAGGGAAGAGCGACGCTGGGTTGCTGGGCTCCGCGGACACCACCTGGGCCAGTGATCAGAGAGCGCATGGCCCGTGTGGGGCTGACAGGAAGTCAAGGACCCCTGGAGCCTACGGTGAGGGACAGCGATGGCTCTGGGACATTCGTCCCACCAGGTGGCGGCCTGCACATGTCAAAGCTGGGTCCCTTGCTCCCCTCCAGCTGCCGCCTTCTCCATCACCCTCCATCAACTCGACCATCCACATCTCAGGCTGAACACCTGGTCACCCTGACGCCCTCCCGTTCCACAGCAGGAAGAGCTGCGGGTGCTGCTGAGTCCGCTCTGAGCCAGAGGTGGCTTTTCTGAAACTGTCTTCAGCCTCGAGGGCATTTTCTGTAGTTAGATGAGGAGCCACCTCTCTGCCCTTCCTGGGCGACCCAGGGCTGGGCCTCAGGGATCCCGTGCCAGCAGCTTCCCGGGGGCACCTGTCCTCACAGCTGCCCCAGGGCGTTAGGGAGGACGGTCCTGTCCTTTTGTGTCTAGGGCCAATCCCAACGCTGAAAACACCATTGATGCTAAAAGTCTTGCTGTAAGAGCCAGCATTACAGTCACGGTGGCTGTAGGTTCAGGATTATCTGGGTCACTTGTGATTTCAAACTCTATTTGTCCTCAGAAGCCTCCGACTTTGTCAGATTACAGGTTGGAAACTATGGTTGGCTGTCACCGCTGGGTTGAGGTCAGTGTTGTGGGAGCTGAGAGGAGGGAGAAGGGAGGTGCCGAGGAATTCACGGGCGAAGGATGTGCATGGAGCCCTAGGGAGAGAGCCGACGGTGGCCTGGGCACGGAGCCATAGAGCCCAATGAGGTGGGGGGCGGGTAGGACTGTGGGGCCAGAGAGGTGTGGGAAGGCCATGGTGTGGCTCTCTAGCATCGAAAGGTGATGGGAGCCCACAGGACACTTCCTCACTTGACTGAGAGGATGAGACTGACGGCGTTCACAAGAGGTCACCGTGGTCACTGCCGAGGTGGGCGGCGGACCCAGACAAGGAGTGTGCTCCTGCTTTTACCAGGAGACACTTGTGGTCAGCAGAGCCTTCACCAACGTCTCCTGTGTCTGGTCTGGATGTGTTTTCGGTGAGCATCCCATGGTCTTCATGTAAAACCCACCAGTGACTGTCTCCTGGTGGTTTGGGCTTAAGTAGGAAAACACTTTGGAGGGTGGCCACAAGGTGGCGCTCGCCACAGTCACTCCTTGGATGTGGATGTTGAGAGTTTAGTAGGGTTTTGTTTCCCCTTCCACCTTCCATTTTCACATTCTTCCTATATTTACTTTAATGTGATGGATATTAAATTGTTTCCCTCTGCAGTGTTGGTGAGACTCCATTTTCCCTGCCACTTACCAGAAAATCTTAGAACAATGGATGTAAACATTAAAACATTTCATCGTCTGTGTTGTCCTTGTCTGTGTCTGACTTGCTGTAGAGGCCTTTCTAATTAGCACATATCAGAGACGTCTCATTTAAAAAAGCACGGAGCAGTGTTTTCTGTACCGTTGAACAGGATAGTGTTGTTCACTAGTCCCTTGCGTTTGCTGGTCTAGTTTATGTACACGTCACCTGCTTTACGGGGTAGCAGACCATGACCGCAAGCTTTCCTCTGGAATGCGGTTTTCATGCTGCTTCCCAAGTGCTTGTTCCCGCCTCAGACAGTCGTTGCCTCCTTCCAGCATCGACTGCCAAAGCTGCGAATGAAATGCACTGTGAAATAGCGCCCAGCCAGGAGGGAGGGCCCAGGCGATGTGAAATAGCGCCCAGCCAGGAGGGAGGGCCCAGGCGATGTGAAATAGCGCCCGGCCAGGAGGGAGGGCCCAGGCGATGTGAAATAGCGCCTGGCCAGGGGGGAGGGCTCAGGCGATGTGAAATAGCGCCTGGCCAGGAGGGAGGGCCCAGGCGATGTGAAATAGCGCCTGGCCAGGCGGGAGGGCTCAGGCGATGTGAAATAGCGCCTGGCCAGGAGGGAGGGCCCAGGCGATGTGAAATAGCACCCGGCCAGGAGGGAGGGCTCAGGCGATGTGAAATAGCGCCCGGCCAGGAGGGAGGGCCCAGGCGATGTGAAATAGCGCCCGGCCAGGAGGGAGGGCCCAGGCGATGTGAAATAGCGCCTGGCCAGGAGGGAGGGCTCAGGCGATGTAAAATAGCGCCCGGCCAGGAGGGAGGGCCCGTGTGATGTGAAATAGCGCCCGGCCAGGAGGGAGGGCCGGTGTGATGTGAAATAGCGCCCGGCCAGGAGGGAGGGCCGGTGCGATGTGAAATAGCGCCCGGCCAGGAGGAGGGCCTGGGCCTGTGTGATGTGAAATCGCACCCCTAGCCCAGGAGGGAGGGCGGTGATGGAAATATACGCCCAGGCCAGGAGGGAGGGCCGGTGCTGATTTGAATAGCGCTCCGGCCAGGAGGGAGGGCCGGTTGCGGATGTGACATAGCGCCCAGGCCAGGAGGAGGGCCGGGGTTGTGTGATGTGAAATAGCACCCAAGGCCAGGAGGGAGGGCGGGTGGCTGATGTGAAATCGGCCCGGCCAGGAGGGAGGGCCGGGTTGCTGATGTGACATAGCGGCCCGGACAGGCAGGAGGGCCGGGCGATGTGAATAGCGCCCCGGCCAGGAGGGAGGGCCGGTGCGATGTGACATAGCGCCCCGCCAGGAGGGCGGGCCGCTAGTGATGTGAAATAGCGCCCAGCCAGGAGGGAGGGCCGGTGCGATGTGAAATAGCGCCCAGCCAGGAGGGAGGGCCGGTGCGATGTGAAATATCGCCCGGCCAGGAGGGAGGGCCGGTGCGATGTGAAATAGCGCCCAGCCAGGAGGGAGGGCCCAGGCGATGTGAAATAGCACCCAGCCAGGAGGGAGGGCCCAGGCGATGTGAAATAGCGCCCAGCCAGGAGGGAGGGCCCAGGCGATGTGAAATAGCGCCCAGCCAGGAGGGAGGGCCCAGCGATGTAAATAGCGCCAGCAGGAGGGAGGGCCCAGGCGATGTGAAATAGCGCCCAGCCAGGAGGGAGGGCCCAGGCGATGTGAAATAGCGCCCGGCCAGGAGGGAGGGCCGGTGTGATGTGAAATAGCGCCCAGCCAGGAGGGAGGGCCCAGGCGATGTGAAATAGCGCCCAGCCAGGAGGGAGGGCCCAGGCGATGTGAAATATCGCCCGGCCAGGAGGGAGGGCCTGTGCGATGTGAAATAGCGCCCAGCCAGGAGGGAGGGCCGGTGCGATGTGAAATAGCGCCCAGCCAGGAGGGAGGGCCGGTGTGATGTGAAATAGCGCCCAGCCAGGAGGGAGGGCCCAGGCGATGTGAAATAGCGCCCAGCCAGGAGGGAGGGCCCAGGCGATGTGAAATATCGCCCGGCCAGGAGGGAGGGCCCAGGCGATGTGAAATAGCGCCCAGCCAGGAGGGAGGGCCGGTGTGATGTGAAATAGCGCCCAGCCAGGAGGGAGGGCTCAGGCGATGTGAAATAGCACCCGGCCAGGAGGGAGGGCCGGTGTGATGTGAAATAGCTCCCAGCCAGGAGGGAGGGCCAGGCGATGTGAAATAGCGCCCAGCCAGGAGGGAGGGCCCAGGCGATGTGAAATATCGCCCGGCCAGGAGGGAGGGCCCAGGCGATGTGAAATATAGCCCCGGCCAGGAGGGAGGGCCCAGGCGATGTGAAATAGCGCCCAGCCAGGAGGGAGGGCCCAGGCGATGTGAAATAGCGCCCGGCCAGGAGGGAGGGCCCAGGCGATGTGAAATAGCGCCCGGCCAGGAGGGAGGGCCCAGGCGATGTGAAATAGCGCCCGGCCAGGAGGGAGGGCCCAGGCGATGTGAAATAGCGCCCGGCCAGGAGGGAGGGCCCAGGCGATGTGAAATAGCGCCCGGCCAGGAGGGAGGGCCCAGGCGATGTGAAATAGCGCCCGGCCAGGAGGGAGGGCCCAGGCGATGTGAAATAGCGCCCAGCCAGGAGGGAGGGCCGGTGTGATGTGAAATAGCGCCCAGCCAGGAGGGAGGGCCCAGGCGATGTGAAATATCGCCCGGCCAGGAGGGAGGGCCCAGGCGATGTGAAATAGCGCCCGGCCAGGAGGGAGGGCCCAGGCGATGTGAAATAGCGCCCGGCCAGGAGGGATGGCCGTGTGGGCCGTGCGTTCTTCGTGCAGTGTGCGGGGCAGTGTCTGCACGTGACTTCCGGGCGTCCGGGTCAGAGGGACTGACCTTCGCGCAGGAGGGGTCCTGGGGCTGAGCTGGTTAACGTCCGGGATCACACATGTGTCCTTTGTGTTTCAGCTGCGTGCGTGCATGCAAGTCTTCCACCCTTGTTTTTTAGAAGGACATCGAAGAGTTTTGACTCGCGAAAGGCCCCGCGCCTTGCTGTCCGAGCGGTGACCCCGTGCTCTGTTGCAGGCTGTTCCTGTGCACCTTCACGCTGGCCGTGTCCGCGGGCGCCGTGCTGCTCCTGCCCTTCTCCATCGTCAGCAACGAGATCCTGCTGGCCTTCCCTCACAACTACTACATGCAGTGGCTGAACGGCTCCCTCATCCACGGTCAGTGCATCGCCCCTAGCCGGGGGCTCCCTTCGGCGCCGCGGGGTTGCGGGGTCTCCCCTTTGCGAGCGTCTCCACGGTTTCCATCTTCTCCAGTAACCCCCCGAGTCCTTAATAATATCAGAAAACCGGCCTTTACTTACCAGCCCTTCTCCTTGTTAATGGCGAAAGGCTTCTCTGTGTTACGGCGTCAAGGGGCAGTTTTTGTCCTGACCACGATCCTGGTAAGTTTTCATTTCAATACTGAGCAAGAGAGTTTTGTTTTGTCTGAACATGTCTGAACTCAACCTCCACTGAAGACCTGGAAGAGGGGCCTTAGTTTCCTTTCATTCATTTGCTGTGAGTTTCTGTAGCCAAATGCATGACAGAGGCGGGGGGCTCTCTTGTCAGGACAAACTTTAAAATTGATGTGGGCTTTAGAAAAAAATGAAGACCGACATATTATATAATTGCCTTACGATATCGCGCTTTGAAGCCAAATAGACCTGGATCCCACTCTTAGCTCTGTTGTTTTCTAGAAATTTTCAGTGAGGTCGGGCATCTTTATTTAATTGTAACTTATCCCTTGCTCTCCCTTTTCTGTATATTGATTGAATTATGTGATCTCTTTACGTGTCAAACACAGCTTTTTATCTGATCTTTAAAAATATGTTTCTCTAGTTGTTACTTTGCTTTTGAATTTTATCTGCTGTTTTGATTTGTAGAAGTTTTACTTTGTTTTTGTTAAGTGTCACCTAAGGATATTTTTCCATTGATTTTTAGATAGAGTGGGAGGGAGGGAGAGAGAGAAATATCAATATGAGAGAGACACATCAATTGGTTGCCTCCCCCACAACCCTGACTGGGGCTGGGATTCGAATTTGCAACCTGGGTATGTGCCCTTGACCAAGAATCGAACCCACAGCTCTTTGGTCTGTAGGACGACGCTCTAACCGCTGAGCCAGCCAGGGCAGAAGTTTTACATTTTTCTGTTGTCCAGTCTTTCTCTGCCTTTGTTTTCTCTAGTTGTTTCTGTGTTTGGAAGATCCTTTTCCTTCCTAAGATATGGCAAATATTCCCTTTTTTCCTCTATATAAAAAAAGAGGTTTTGTTGCCCCAGCTGGGTGGCTCATTTGGTGGGAGCACCGTCCCATACACCAAAGGGTTGCGGGTTTGATTCCTGGTTGGGGCGTGTACAGGAGGTAATGTTTCTCTTTCGCATCAGTGTTTCTCTTTCTGAAATCAATAGATATGTCTTCAGGGGAAGATTTAAAAAATATTTTAAAAATGGTTTTATTTACATTTAACTATTTAATTCATCTGGAGTTTATACATATACCCTTTCTCTTATCCCTTTGTGTGTATGTAAAGAAATACATGTTTACTGCAGAAAATTTGGAAAACAAAGTTTATAGGGAAGAAAATTATTATTATTCACAATCCTATATAATGTGGAGAGTACTTTAAATACTGTGTCCTCCCCCTGTCTGCTCACTGTTACTTTGTGTTCCCCCCAATGTGCTCACTGTTACTTTGTGTCCCCTCATTGTGCTCACTGTTACTTTGTGTCCCCCCATTGTGCTCACTGTTACTTTGTGTCCCCCCATTGTGCTCACTGTTACTTTGTGTCCTCCCCGTGTTGTGCTTACTGTTAACTTTGTGTTCTCACCATTGTGCTCACTGTTACTTTGTGTCCTCCCATTGTGCTCACTGTTACTTTGTGTCCCCCCATTGTGCTCACTGTTACTTTGTGTCCTCCCCTGTTGTGCTCACTGTTACTTTGTGTCCCTTCATTGTGTTAGTTTTGTGTCCCTCCATTGTGCTCACTGTTACTTTGTGTCCCCCCATTGTGCTCACTGTTACTTTGTGTCCTCCCCCTGTTGTGCTCACTGTTACTTTGTGTCCCCTCATTGTGCTCACTGTTACTTTGTGTCCCCCCATTGTGCTCACTGTTACTTTGTGTCCTCCCCATTGTGCTCACTGTTACTTTGTGTCCTTTGCCTTCCACAGATGGGGGCTTCCCTGAGGTCACTAATTTCTACACTGTTGCAGTATTACCTAGAGCCATTATAATCATGGATTGTTCCCAAGTTTTTATCTAGAAAGCTACATCTTTATAAATAGATATTTGTCCTTAGGATATATTTATGCAATGTACTTTCCAGGTACGCATACGTTCCAGGTTTTTAAAAATATATTCCTCAGAAAAACCGCACGGATTTCTCAGGCAGTCTCGCCTTCCTGGGAAGGGTGCGAGAGTCCCTGCTCACGGGTGTAGCTTTACCGCTTTTGGTTGTTAGTTAATAAAAACCTACCAGTTCAATAGATGAATATTTTTTCTCTTTAAATTTACATTTCTTTAGTTACTAGTGCAGGTGGACATTTACAAAGCATGTTTATAGGTCATTTTTTTTTATTTTTTATTCTCACCTGAGGACATTTTTCCATTTTTTGTTCAGGTAGAGTGGGAGGGAGAGAGAGGAACAGAGAGAGAGAGAGAAACATCGATGTGAAAGGAACACATCGAGTGGCTGCCACCCGCACAACCGACCAGGGCCGGGGACAAACTGCAACCGAGGTACGCGCCCTTAGCGTGAACCGAACCCGGGTCTCTCAGGACCGCAGGCCGACGCTCTAACCGCTGAGCCAAACCGGCCAGGGCTATAGGTCATTTTTAATGTATTTTTTAGTAAACTGCCTACCTGTGTTCTCTTTGCCCATTTTTGCAGTGTTTTTTAAGTTATTAGCTGTCTATCAGGTTAATTGCAAACATTTTTTCTCCCAGTTGTCCTTTAATATTGCTTAAGCTGTTTTTTGACATAAGAATTTCAACATTTTAGTCTAACCGCGTATCTTAATCTGGCCTTGTGGTGGTTGTCATGCATGAAGCCAGGAATGAATGGGGTCTTTGATGCTGTGGTGACCACATGAGTCAGTGAAGTTAAGACTGATTATTACGCGAAGGAAAGAATTATTTTTCAATTGGTCAGCAATTGAAAAAACACCAGTAAGGAAAGAAGGTATTTACTGAAGTTGACACTGAAGTTAAGTCTGGAAAGTCCCCTGTTGTTCTGGAAGGCTGTGGCCTTCCTTCTCCCGTGAGCTATCTCTAGGTGACAGTGCTCTTCGTAAGAGCAAATACGCGGACAACACGCAGCGTACGGCGGTTCCTGTGTCTGCCGTCTGACGTGTCCGGAGGAGACTGGCCTGCTTCTCCTGGCCCTGCTTTCTGTACGGCCGTGGGCACCCTGGTGCTCACTCTCTGCGCGCTGGGCTCCAGGTGTTTCCCCAGCGGTGCAGGTGTCTGAGGCTGGACCGCGCAGTGTGACCAGTGAGCTTGCCTTCCCCCCATTTTACTGCACAGAAATTGCATGTTGTACTGATGACCTTCAAATACTCTCAGCTGGGGCGAATTCTTCCTCATTTGTCCATGGACTGGAGGCGCTGCCCGCTCATGACGTCCATGTACTTGGGGCCAGAGAGCGTCCTCGGAAGTCACACCTGTTCGCGTGTTGTCTGTCTCATTGTAACGGAGGAGCGTAAGCTCAGCTGGCTGTTTCATTTATAAACCGGGGCCCAGGGCAGTGCTTCCCTCATCGCGGTGGCCCAGTCAGCCTACGCCGAACGAATACACTGCAGAAGACACAGTGACTTTCACGTGCAGTAAACAGCATGAGCCGAAAGTCGGGGCGCTAGAGGAAGAAGCTTCTAAGTGATGTCATTGCTTAGTGTGTTCTCAGGGCCAGGTCTCAGGAGGCCTGGGAGGCCGGCCCTGGGACTCGCTCCGGAGGCCTTTACGACCCCAGCCTTGTCTCTACTTCCGCTTCTCGGGCAGATCTGTTCTCGCTGCGGGCAGTGAGCTCCATGATGCTTCCTGCTCGTCTTCGTCTTCTGAACCTACAGCTCCCCTTGGCCTTGTGAACGACACCCACAGGGGTGCTTGTCCGTGCCCCGGGTTGTCTGGTGGTTGAAGATTGTCGGTCTTAGACATGCACGCTTCTCGGTTTTTAGGAAATTATAACCATTAACGGGGCCACACTGTTGTAAAGCGGACCGAGGAGAGCCAATGGGGCTGTTCCCTTCCGAGTTTAAAGACCTGACAACCAGGGGAGCCGACGGAGTGAGTCCTGGTCTGAGTCCAAAGGCTAGAGAAGACCAGCATTGCAGCTTGAACAAAGGCAGAGAGGATGAATTCCTTATTCCTCAGCCTTTTCTGTCTAAGCAGGCCTTCAACTGATCGGGCGAGGCCCACCCACAGGGGAGGGCAATCTGTTTTACTCAGTGTACCGATTCAAATGTTGACCTCCTGGAAACACCCTCACAGGCAGGCTCAGAAGTCACCTTTGACCAAGGATCCGGGTACCCTGCAGCCCTGTCAAATTGACAATAAGATGAACCATCACAAGTCTGCCCCTGTCAACCGGGCTCATCTAAACCAGGCTCATCTAAGCCACCTACGTAACCTGTGCGTTTTCTGTGCGTGTGTGCGCTTTCCTTCAGTCTGGGTTTGACTTGCTTTAGACACCTCTCTGAGTACACATGAGAGACATCTTATTTTAAAAAAATGACAAAGTACTGTTTACGTACTATTGAACAGAATAATGTTGTTTGATAGTCCCTACTATTTGCTAGTATAATTTATTTACACTTTACCCATTTTAGGGGTATAAATATTGAACAGTAAAAATGCACAGAAGAAAAAGAAAGTACTCACTTGTATTCATGTTCTGTATCTTGCATGTTAAAAAATTAGTAGAAAGATAAGAAACCCCTCTGTTCTGTGCACTGAAAAATGACGATACGACTACTCGTGGGTTTTCCTCTTGGGGCGACGGAAGCCTGGGACTGGATAAAGGTGGTGGCTGCCGCACATCGTCAGCGCACGAAAGCCACTGAGGTGTTCACTGTAAAGGGGTAACTGTACGTGATGTGAGTTTAACATGAAATGAAACCCAAACAGGCACATGTTGGAAGGTAGGAGGATGGAATTGCAATTGCAGCCCTGGAGCCAGGAGATAATT